GATGTGCCGAAAAACCTCTACTGGGTGTTTGAAAACCAGAGAAGAACCCATGGTCACCTTACTGCATTCAGAGTTTTCTTTGGGGCTGCCATAGAGGAAGAGAATATGATTTTTTTCTGTCTTCCAAATGTACATCAGATCACAGTTAGCACTACATGCACTAGACTAGAAGATACTGGCATGAAAAAAATGCAGATACCTTTCTTGTATTGAATATAACAGATACGTGTATATGGGAGAGCTTTCTAGGCCAGAAATCAGCAGACCATAATACAGATTTTAACAAAAAAGTATAATGTAGCTTATTTTTTATGTTTGTGTCCAATCTACCGTGCTCAGCCTGCTGACATCCCTGTTCTGAAGTGATGCTCCTACACATACTGGAAAAATGAAATATTTACTCAAGTATTCTTGTGTGCATTTAAAGAGAAACATAAAAGTAATTCTGTAAATTTTCGGCACTTTTTTTTTTCCTCAAAAAACTAGCCCTCCTAGCAATGACTTTTCACCAACTGCTTTGGAAACTGGCAAGTTCAAAAGCAATATGTGTTGCATTGAAGAGAGGAGGTATTGGATGAAAAGAACTTTGTTTCCATCACAAGAAGTGAAATAAAGAACTAAACTCTGCCTTGTTTTGATCTGGCTTTGATTTAGTTCCTACAATATGATAAAACCTTTGTATCAACAAGAAAATGGTGTCCAAAGCAAAACAAGGAATATCTATGCAGATTCTCAGTCATTGAAAGACTTCCAAAAATTTGCTTTGGAGAAAAGAAAAAGAAACCATGTAGCATCTTTCCAAATCGTGTAGGGCTGACAATCAATACCTTGCCTCGAAAGCTTTCCTTGATGTATTTTATCCCTTATGGTATACTTTTTTAAAATATACATAAGCACATTGTAATTACTAATTTTTTGTAGTTTAGATGTTGTACTATATAGCTTTTCTAAATATTCTTTCCTCTTCCTTAGCCATTTGTGAAACCTGAAAGTAAGTTTTGGCCTACAATTGCCAGAATTGATGACATCTATGGGGACCAGCATCTGATCTGTACCTGCCCACCAATGGAGGTCTATGAATCCCCTTTTGCTGAGCAGAAGAGAGCATCATCTTAGGACCAACTTCCTTCCCCCCCCCCTTTTCAGATCACTGGGCTTTATTTTTCTTGCTGTATTTGTAGCACTCTGTGAAGACAGGCGAAATCTTCAGCCCAGTTAGCACATTTTATATACAATGTATATTTTTGAAAACTCCACGCTGTTAATTAAATTTCTGTGCAGCTATTTGTAAATACTTTTATTAAGCGGCAGTTGATTTGATACAGTGCCTCAGTTCCCGTGTTAATCGATGCTGAAGTGGCCTTGATTAAGCCCCTCTTTTCTATCAGGGCTGCTTTTCTGTGATTTAATAATAAGCATTGAACTATATGAACAAAAGCAATACTCTGTTTAAACAGTGTCATGACTATGTACCTGCTCGTCCAAATGCTCTGTGATACAGAATTAACCCCATTTTTTTTTAAAGGACATAGTTTTATAATGTATTTCCCTTGGTTTTGAGCTGAGGTAGAATGGAGTTACTATTCATTTTGTATGAATGAAGTCATGGACAACCATTAACAGTTTGATATGGTCGAATGCAGGTAGCTTTGTAAAAAAAAAAAATATGTACCACACTCTGTTAGATTATGGCAATGCATCTTTGTTGTTTATAAGTATATGTCTTAGAATTGATATTTTTTAAATTTTCTCTTGTTAATGTTCCAATTAAAACTAGTTGACTTCAGTTTTTGAAGTTTGATTTCAATCCAATTAGCAAAAAAACAGGTCACTTTCTTCAGAATATGGACATTAATGCGAGCCAAGTAGGCATGAGACACTTGCTCAGCAGCATTTGTGATCTCATACACCTCTGCCATAGGTGGGGTGCTTTGAGAGGCTTTGCTAGGGCTCTAATGATTACACTTGTGAGAACAAAAGGTTGCCTGTAGGATTGCTAGCATTAAGATTTCCAATACATTTTGTTCTAATACACATATTTAAAGGGCACATGGTTTGGCAAATGAGAAAAACCTGTTCCCTTTTAGGTTAATCTTTGCTGAATATTACTTAATCAGTCAGCCATTTTCTGTAAAACTGACTTAACATATTCGGTGCAAGAACTGTAGCCTATAGCTAATTACCAATTTCTTGGTCACCATTCTGTAGACTGGCTTAAGGCATAATCAACAAAAGCCACACACACACACACATGGGTCAGACACACTTCTCAGAATATGACCTCCTATCAACCTTGGCATAATGTGGTCTGATATGGGACTGTTGGAAAACAGTGCTGTCACAGTAGTTATGAGTTCAATCAATTACAATATGCTACAGCAATGAAATGCAAGTGCAACAATCTGAATTTATTATTTGAAATTAAAGGATGAGAGTACATCCTTTACAGCACACAGCAAAAGCACATAACTTTTAAAAGCTATCTCACATTGAACAAAGAGATGCCCACAACTGTCAAAAGAGAAATCCAATTTGAAGACATTGATGGCAAGCTGACCACTATGAAAACTGCTTCAAGAACTGCTTAAAAAGAACCACAAAACACTCCATTTAATGAGGGGCTTACCACCTCTGGTTTCAGAGAAGCTTGCAGGAATAGGAAATGAATGATAAAGTGCTTCCTACATATGATAATCCAAGCAACAAGTTATTTATGGGGAAAAAGTCTTCATGTAATGCTCCAGTAGACCCTGAGGTTGTAATTTTATAGCAAATGAACTTGGGATAAACTCCTTGTGACTCAAAGGGAATTACTCTGTAAGAGAGCCAACTGTTCCAATGTATCAGAGAAATGATCAACTTTCTATTAGCAGTACCATTTGGTTATTTTTTTTAGCTAACTTTAGCACCGGATAGCTAGCTTAGCAAACATGTTTTATTTTTTTATCCCGTCTTTATTTTTAAAAATAACTCCAGGGGGCAAACACTTTCTCCTCTTATTTTCGCCACAACCCTGTGAGACTGGCCCAAAGTCACCCAACCAGTTTTGATGCCTAAAGTGGAACTAAAACTCAGTTTTCAGGTTTCTAGCTTGGTGCCTTAACCACTAGACCAGGGGTAGGCAACCTTGGCTCTTTTATGACTCATGGACTTCAACTCCCAGAATTCCTGAGCCAGCCATACTAGCTCAGGAATTATAGGAGTTGAAGTCCACAAGTCATAAAAGAGCCAAGGTTGCCTACCCCTGCACTAGACCAAAGTAGCTCTGTACATTCTGAAATGGACATGGTGAGATCTTGCATAAGCCAAAAAAAAGTTGTGTTTTCTTTATGCTTAGTGTGGTACACAAAGCTAATTGGTCACTGTGCCTCCTAGGCCATGACTTATGACAGGGAGCAGAAAAAGGCAATTGCCCTCCCTCCAAAATTATTTCATTTCAGCATTTTTAAAATTCTGAAATGTTCTTGAAAATCCCAACATTTAATTCACCCAGAGGTTCACAAATTTCCAGCCACTCAAAGTAAGTTATCCAAATTCCAGAAAATTTGGCAGTTTTTAATTTTGTGATAGGAGGCAGGGTAATATTTGGGCCATTGTGCAAAATTGTTGATTCTTGGTTTATGATTTAGGCTTGTTCAAAAAATCATGATGCCAGAAGTTGGTCACTGAATATTTTTATCTCCTACCTAAGTATTAAAATTAATTGTTGTCTGGTCTATGCACAATGCTAACTTACTGTTTTAATATATGTACAGGTCATAAGTTCATGGATAAGACATGCTAATATATGACTTGGGTTTCAATCAGCTTGTGATTAATATTAACTATCTTTACAAAACAAGCAAAGATTCTTGATCAGTTTGCAACTGATTTTCTAGATAAAAGTTGGATAATTGGTTCTCCCAATTTTATACATCACTGAGGTTAAAATGGCATTAGAAATGGGGCTCGGCATCCAATATAGGCAGACTAGAGGTTTCCGAGGGATGAAAAGATAGTTAACACTTTATCTAGGCTGAAGATATACTCACTAGCCATGACTGAAAGCCCAAAAGAAGCTTTTATTCTCACAGCTGTCTCATCACTCTGGAGACTGCTATTGCACAAAAGCTAAAACCATTTATGAAACTTTGCTTTCTTATCTTGCTTTAGCTGCAAATTCATAAACTCTTATGACTAAAAAGGCCATTGGCTGATATAGCCAAATCAATATTTGTGTATCTGAGAGAAAAACAGGAAAGTTCTGCTTTCAATTTTTATCTAACTAGATACCTTTTACTATCACAGCTGAAAAACTGTGGTTCATTCAATCTGTGGATAATTCAAATAACTCATGTTTAATTATAGTTTTGTTATCCTGGCTGATTAAGCATAATATAAACCAACCTGAGTTGAGATACTGTCCCAGTTCATCCATAATGATTTCTGTTTTACTTAAGTGTTACATGTAAAGTAGGTCACTATGGCTTTAACCTGTTAAGTTAAACATTCCAACATTGTTACATGTGAATTCAACACTCCTTTTTTAAACTATCCTATTTTAATTTTAATTTCTTTCTGCTAAAGGAAAAAGATTGGAATGTAAACTGAAACCAGTTAAATAATGCTAATCCAATGTTCAGTACCATACCTAAAACAGACTTGAAATCAAAAAGCTTCGGTCTCAATTTATAATACAGGGATAACACCAGCTTCCCAATTCAAGCAATGCTCAAACAACTATGTATATATTAAAATAGTAAGTACTCAAAACGTATCTGTTCTGATAGCAGTATTTACTTTCTATAATCAAAAGCTGATATGAAATGAAAGTCTTATAAAAATGCATTTTAAAATATATAACTCTGCAAGGCAAAAGCCCAACGGACCAATGTAAATTTCAGGTTTACTAATCCCATTTATCAAAATTTCAAATGGAATTTTATGTAATATATAAAAACACTATTTTAAGAAATTACTTGCTATCATGTTATGGGTGTAAAATGCAAACAATCAACACCTTATGAATCATAAAATATTTAATAAGTATATTCAGGGGTGGGGAATATACTGTATATAAAATTTCAGATCACAATATGAAGCAATTTGAGCTCTCTCCAAGCTTGCACTGCTTTCAATGCTGTATAAGATGTATTGCCACTAATACAAGACCTACTAAAAGCAAACAATTTTACCTAATACAAAAGTGGCTTGTTTTATATGAAATAGTTTTTACACAATTAGAGTGTCTTGAACACCCTCTTTAAGTGCAAAAAACACAAATCACTTTACATCAACAGCAACGATGCATTCATATTCTCAGTCCTTAGTAGTCAACTTGCAGAAGATACGAGAGCACAATAACGCTCACAAAAATAGACTAAAAGCTTGTTGTTGCAAAAGGAGTAAGAAAGACAGCAGGAGAGAAAACACAATAAAGAATTATGCATACCACAGCATTTGATGTTCTCAATAAAACTGGCTTCTTACGTGCTGTTTTCTTGTTGCAAAATCAAATTGCATGGACCAGGCAAAACTAATGTTCAGGAGGCAGTGTGTAGCTAAACTTCATTGGATGTGTTGTTAAACTTCCCCCAATTTGTTTTCTCCAACTGAGGTAGTTACAAAAACAACTGAAGACCTGCTACTACCGTGGCCAGAGCCAAGAAAGCGTTTATTCCTGCATACAAACTAATGCTCATCTGTTCAAAACTACCTTTGTGGAAAGGAAGCTGAGAATTTGAAGTTCTTACTACACAACAGATTGCTAAATGGGAAAGAGGGTTGAATTAGCGGCTTCACAATGTGATAGTAAATATGAATTCCCTCAAGCTGGCTGGTCCACTGTTTTCCTAGATGTTTTGTTCTTTTAGTTTATTCAGTCATTTGGAGAAGAAGGTTACAAATACATATCATCGGCCTTTGCTATAACCAGGGAAGAACTGGTCAAGTAGTGTTTGCAGTATCTTGTTGGGAACCATGATGTAGCCCTTTCCAAGGTCGTGTCGGCAAGCAGGACAGGTGAAGACTTCAGCTCTGAAAGAGCGCTGTAAACAGCTCTAAAGTCATGGGAAACATATAAATGTTAAAATCCAGGTCACAAGATAGATACATTACTTAGAGATTAAGCAACATTCAGATGAAAAATACTCTGTGCTTGAAACAGTTCTGGGCAGGCTGTGTCTAGACCCAGAATGTGGGTTTGGTCAGCCGGGCAGAGTGAGAAAAATGGAAGGTCAAAGAGACAATGGTGTGCAATATGTGGTAAAGGAAAGAACGGTGAAGAAGATTGGGCAAGACTGGGCCAGGTGGATTTGCTGCACTCGAATTTAAGAATGGCAAGGAAATGGTGACAGATCTAAGGGAAGGTAACTTAAGGAGGGAACAGGAATGGTGAGTAAACCAGACACACAGTGAAAGAGGAGGGGAAAAGAAAGACTAGATATATCAGCTCTGCCCATTCTTCCTATAAAAGTTCACCAGAATTACCTTGCCTGAAACCTGGAATAACCATTGCTTCCCAGGTTTTACTCAGCAAGACCAACAGCCTACCCAGGACAGCTTGACCAAACTCCCGGGTTACAATATATTTGAATTTTACCATGAAGCAAAGCATACTGTCATACTTCCTGCAAAAAGATACCCCAACATTATTATACTGCTGTAATATCAGAAGTTATCATTCCAAATTTGAAGAGATCTATATTTATATTTATGCCCACTTCACATGTTGACATGCAATTCCCAGCCTTCTTCATTAAGGGGAGTTGAAATCCCACACGTGTGGGGCAAAGGCCCTCTTTCCAGTACATTAGTATTAAAGTAGATGCTGAATCAGTTACAGGTGGGTTAGGCTAGACCTTACAAGAAATTGTTTTCTTATATATAAACAAATTTACAGAACGTTTTGTGCTTTTACCATCCACTCTCTATATTTCATAATGCATGAAAAGGAGAAACAGCCTTCCTGTCCAGCAGTTCTGAATAAATCATGGTGTCTAGTAATATAAACAGGACAATAGGGCAGAATGTGAGAATACAGATAGTCTTCAACTTACAACAGTTCCTTCAGTGACTGTTCAAAGTTACAACAGCACTGAAAAAAGTGACTTAAGACCACTGCAACATCCCCATGGTCACATGATAAAAATTCAGGCACTTGGCAACTAACTCATATTTATGACGGTGGCAGTGTCCTGGGGTCATTGATCAACTTTTGTAACCTTCTGACAAGCAAAGTCAATGGAGATGCTAGATTCACTTAACAACCATGTATCTAACAACTGCAGCGATTCACTTAACAACTGTGGCTAGAAAGGTTGCAAAACGGGGCAAAACAAACTTAACAAATGTCTCACTTATCAGCAGAAATTTTGGGCTCAATTGCGGTTGTAAGTCGAGGACTACCAGTACAGGCGTTTGCCTCGCTCTTGTTTTCTCTCTAACCTCTGCACGCTCTGACTGGACCCCCCTCTCTCTGGGGAAAGGGGAGGGAAATTCAGTCCACCAGCACATCTCCTCCACTAGTATAATTTCAAACAATTAAGACCAAGACACAACAGAAAACTATAATTTCATCCAGTGTTTACAACCTGATACCCTACAAATATGTTGGACTATAAGTTTCTATGCTTAACGCTTTCCAAGCACAGTTACCTATAGATTATGTTTTTGCTCTTTTGCTTTTGTTTCAGTTCTCTTCTGGGTCATATCTGTTTCTCAATTTATTATTCTTGCTTTTACAGTGTAAGTTGCCCTAAATTATTTGGTATTAGATGGTGCTTTAAAATAAACAAATAGCTGAACCCAATGTTCACACCCATTCTATGAATCAACATGAATTGTAAAAATAATGTAAGGTGAATAATCTTCTGGAAATTACCAGAAATGATGGATATGCATCTTGTAGAGGCTCAAAAGAACTTTATACTTTCAGGTATATAATAATTCAGCACAAATGTTGACACAAGATTACACACAAATGTTAATATCAGAGAAGTAATTAATTTCAATTCAGGAATTGAAAGCATTTAACATATTGAAGTTAACACCGCCTTCAAAAGTATGTAGAAAGTATATATTGTTTTCATTAAACCAGTCAAAAGATGATTTCATAAATGTAATTATAATCTAAAATCATGCCTGAATTATTTTCTCTTTTGGGAACTATATAAAAACATTGAAGACTTACCAAAAAAACCTGAAACTGTTATTTTTAACACTTAAAAATTGCTCAGTTCATTACAGCATAAGATCTGATGAGACTGTCTTGTCCAAAAGAATATTACATTACAATAGTGTTAGATTGTGCCGTGCCACAAGATTCTTCATTGTTTTGCTTGCTGCAATAGGCTAGCACAGCTAACACTATGAAACTTATTGAAATAAACCAGGTCACAGATATATCTGATCAATATATGCATAATCTTACTGTTTGAACTAAGTAAGAATGTTCATTAACTTGAGGTAACTACTGACTTAGAATTTTCTTTCTCCTTTAAAATCTTAGTTTATTTGCTTTTAAAAGTTACAGCAGAACTATGTGAAAATGATCCACGAGACACTTACTTTACAGACATTGTGCAGGCACTCTGTGGTCACCGGCTGATAAACCAGCTCCTGGCAGCAAACACACATAAAGGATTGTTCCAGTTTCTTCAAAAAATTCTAGGACAGGATAATGGAAAAATAATTAAGTCAAATGCTGAAGTGTTCACAACCTCTTCATAAAATAATATTGTTTCTATATTAACCCGGACTTCTTTTGGGGCCTGGAGTATAGTATTCGAAATACGCTTTCTATTTTAATAAATATACTGCATATTAGCCAAATGGTATTTTCACTCTCTGCAGCTCCTCATGCATTCTGGATGGTGGGGAACTTTCTAAAACGTTGCAGGGAGAACAAGGTCCTTGCTGTTCCAGTGAAAATCCAGTGGCATAACATTAAAAGGAAACAGTACAGAACATTGGTTAAAATAAAAAACCTACTGGTCCTTCTTTAAGAAATTTAAGAACTTCATCCCAAAGTTTCTGGTTTGGAGAGTCTTCCTGTATCAACCATTGTTGTTGCTGTGTTAGCTGAAAAGCTTCTCCCTTCCCTCCATCACTCATCTTCATTGTTTTGGCTGTATTTGTACGTTGCTTTATATTGTCTGGAAAAAAAATGTTATCAAACCACAATTATAAATTTACACTGACTTCTTCAACTGCATATCCTGCAGGAACAGGGTTATTGATTAAATTTACCAGATTAAATTTACCTTTCTTTTAAAGATACTTTCACAGAAAAAAAATAGAGATTTCCTTTTTTTATGAGAGATAAATTTCAAGTAGCTCACTGCAAGTAAACAGTATATTTGATTCAAATCTTAAATATTGAAAATAAACTCATTCTTAAAATGTGTCAGTCTGTGTAATTACCCTAGCATCTCTGTGGGAATTTTAAGGTTTGTAGAAGTAGAAGAAAAATCATACAGGGAATTGGAAACAGTCCAGTGAAGAATGATTATGCTTCATGGAGTACCTTAAAACAGGGGTCCCCAACCCCCAGTCTGTAGCCCAGTGCTGGGCCACAGCCCAATTAGAACTGGGCTGCGGAAGTGGTGGGTGGGCGAGAACCCTGCATATGATAACTATTAGCAAGCTATAAGCAAACTTTTTTTCAAGTGTTAAGATTGCATTGTCCTGATCTCAAAAGAACATGTATTTGACCTTTTTCTAGCCAAATTATACCTCTGAAATTGGAGTAATAAATTTAGCCCTTCTTAGAATAGCAGATCCATGATCTCTAATATCTTATCTTTTTCATTTACCAAAATTTGATGCAATCTAGAACTACTCACTTTGGCTGAAACCTGATTCCTAATTATTCTATTTTCATTTGAAACCATTATTTTATAAAGGGTTTAATTCTCTTCCATCTCTTTGAAGTTCAGAATGTTGAACATTTAGCATATCAACATGGCTATCTAAGTTCCTTGTCAGCAAACCTTGTACCAAAACAGACCAACATTCCAAAACAAAGGTTGAAAACAAATATATCTGAGCAACAATGATATATTTATAACTGCTGGAAATAGTAATGCTAAACTGGAAGGATATTATGGGTGCATTTTAGAATATGAATAGCTTAAGATTCTCAACACTGTACATTAAGTACAAGAATTATTTTGAAATGTGATCGATCTCTATAAAGAGAGGCTTCATAATTTGACTTCCTTTTTTGTTATTCACCTATTTCTTATTGACCTCCCTTCTGTCTTGTCAATGTCCTCCAAAGCTTTCAAATGCCAAGTATCAATCCCAACCTTTCATTTTTTCCCCCTTGCATCTTCCCTTCCCTCTCCAAGTTTCTAATATATCATAGAAAAATCTTAAGTTCCCTCTTCCTTTGTTGAGCTACATACTAATGGCCAATAGTAACCTATAACGAACAGCTTTTAGAAAGTCCCCAATTGCACTGTCAAATTCTGTCAGAAAAGACAGAAAACTAAAGGATAATTTCTTGGTCTCACATTTTTGGTAATAAACGACAAACATTTTGAAGCGATCTAATCACATGGCCCTGTGGCAGGCCCTTGGCAAGAATGACGGACATTCCTTTTCCTCATTTTCTTTGTTCCTGTCTGGATTTGTTTTCTCTGTTCCTTTGTTATGTTTTTTTTAAAATTGTTACTTGTTTTAATTTTTTTTAACAATTTGTAAACTGCCCACAGTTGCTAAAAATTGGGTGACATATAAATTTAATAAATTATTACTATTACAAATATGTAAGCCTTCATTTAGTTTTAACAAAAATTATGCTGAAAAATTTTCAGCTTAAAGAACCCTTATTTATTGCATTTCCAATAAATTAAAATCATCCAAACTTTACAAAAACATCATCCCCGCACACAAAAATTCAAAAGCCCTCATTTATACAAACCTTAGTGCTATGGGTCCTTGGATGAAATGGAACATCATTTCTTGAGAAAGTGACTGAAACTTAAGGTAAGTCTAATGGCTAAGATATATGGATGAGAGCGCATACCTAGCATGAACTTCTGTCAATGCCCTGTTCACTGGCTGACATAAAGACTCCTAAATGTCTTCTCTCTGAAGGTACTCATTCAGCCCTGCAGTTCACCAGATAGTTGGGAATGAAGAAATGATGGAACAATAAGATAAAATGTAGATGGAAGATGACTCAGAAGAGATCCAACTGAATACAAGAAAGAATCAATGTGAAAACGCTAATTTCTCAATGCTGACAGACCCATTAGATATTTAAGGGGTCCCAGAGATATTATGTTTCAATATGGATTGAAATACCTTCTCTATCTGATAACTGATGGATTTAAGTAGCCAGACATACCGTCATTAATTGGTCTTTTCTGATTTCCATTGCTCTGTTCCATTGATTCCTGTTTCACAGGCTGCTTTTTTACTTTATCTTTCTTTTCTTTATTTGCCATTGCTTCCCAATAGCCTTCTGGGTACTACAAAAGAAGAACATCACATCTGAGAAGTATTTTCAGCAATTCTTGCATCAAAACAAGACCATCTGGAATAGCAGCACGTTCATAAGATCCATTATGTCAAAGACAACTCCAGTGTTTGAAGGGGAGCAAAAAAAAAAAAATCTATAGTTGGAGTTAACTAATTCACAAAATGCCATTATTCTCTTGTGGCCCAAGATGAATCCTGAGTCTTCATTTCTAACAAATAGATTGGCTGAAATTCCTTTGATAAGGAATCAAGGGCTGTTCCCATTTTTCTATATTTTATCAATTGATCTAGGAATCCAAATGATTTTTTGTTTTAGGTTTATCTACTTCAACACATTGTATATTGGGAGTGATTTGTGTTTGAAGGATAGTTAAGTCACACCTGAATCTCCGAGTTTTCTGAAGAACTAAGGTGACATAATCAACAGTTTCAAAGCCATTTATTGCCAGGGATGGCAGTTAAGGATAAATATTTATATACTTTATATACAATTAAGGAGCAGGAATTTCTTGATATAAACTGTTTGTTCCCATCTAGAAATCATCCCAAAATATGAAAAAGGGTCCTCAACTATACTATCAAAATTCAGCCATTTGGTTACTGAATTTCAATCATTATTTAAAAATTATAGGGCCAGAACACAGAACTAGTCCATGTGCAGCCTATACATTGTCACCTTCTCATCTCCATGAAATAAAGTATGGACTTCTGAGCATTATACAGAAAATATAATCCAATTCATCTGACATCTTTAAAATAAATCTGAAGACAACCTTCCAAGAGAGCTTCAGCTGAGTATTGACAATCTTATCTGTTTTAGTAAAAGATAAAAACGATGGCAACTTTTAAGTTCTAACCTGTAAACTCAAGCCCAATTTCTTTGACCGTTCAATTCCCTCTGTAGTCCAAGGTGCAGGTTCAGCATCATCTCTTCTCAGAAGATAGCGCCAAACTAAAAATCCACATTTTCCAATTTCTGGCCAATATTTCACCACCTGAATTATAAAGTTGTTTTTATATGCATCTTCTATAGACTAGCTGCTTAGATCAACTTTAAGAAATCATTCAAACATTTGTATCTAAAGTATTTAATCTAAGAAGATCAAATAAAGGTTGACTGTATAAAAGTTTTTTTAAAAAAAATCCAGCACATGTAAAATGATAAGTCACAGGAAAGACAAAACAAATAAGTTTACTGAAAATAACACACTATAGCATGAATGAATTTACTGATCTGTGATTTTTCTTTTTGCTTAGCTGTGCATTCAAGGTGGCTAACAAAATTAAAATGCAGGATGCAAAATAGAAAATTAAAGTATGAAATAATCAAGTATTAAAAATCTGGAACTGCATCATGAATGTTCTTCTAAGGCACAGAGAGTAAGAGTCAGAAAAGAGTGCATTCCAAAATATGAATGTGGTACAGAAGAGCTTCTGAGTCTGGGGGCACACACAAAAAGGCTTCTTCTGCAGACCATAATGTCTGTACAGGCTTGTTAAAGAAAAGGCAAGGAAGTCAGGTCCAAAGCTGTGCATTATAGTTTTATTATTATTAAATTTATACATGAGCCCACCCACTCTAAAAGTTAACAACAGCACCATATTATTCCCATATCTTATTATTAGTTAGCAGCCCAAATGCCACATTTTATGTCAACTAAAACTTCCAGGTGCTTTTTAAGGATATTGACCTAAAAATGGCTAACAATGATTTGCAATCATCCAAATATCCTGCCAGTGCAGTGCAATGGGCTCTTTATCACAGCTGCAATCTTGATCAATGAGATCTTCTATTTTTGTGGAGAAGAGAGGGATGCAATACCGTGTTTCCCCAAAAATAAGAAACGGTCTTTTTTTTTTTTTTTTTGCCTCCAAAATGTCTTGCCCACTTACCTAGGACTGCTGCAGCTAGGCCTCCCACACCCCGACATCTGTCACGTCACTGCCCGACTTCTTCTGCGACTGCTGGTGGCAGGATGCCATGTAGCGCATCGTGCCAGTGCCACCACTTGCAGGACACCACCATGTGGTGCATTGTGCCAGTGCCACCGCTTGTGGCAGGAAGTGATGTGGGGTCCTGCCATAAGCGGTGGCACTGGTGTGATGTGCCATGTGGCCTCCTGCCGTGAACGACCACCAGCAACCAGAAGTGAGTAAGGGGTTACGCAGGCTCCTGCTGGACAGGGCTGTTGCTGCTGCCACAAGGCAGGTGCCAGGGCATGGGAGGCCTGGCTGTGGGGGCCTGAGGTAAGCAAGTAGGGGCACATGGGGCAGCTCCACCCCCCCACCCTAGCTTGATTTTTACCCATATGCCTCGCCATACCTCATACAACCAGACGGTGGGACGGAGTGGGCGGGATCTTAACTATGGCTTATTTTGGGGATAGGCTTATATTAGGCACACAAGTAAAAATTAAGCTAGGGCTTATTTTCAGGGAAACATGGTATATCCACAACAGGCTAAATTTCAACATCCAAGTATCCAAGAGTCAACCAACAGCCTGGATTTCATTTGTTTGTTCGTCTGCATTTAGTCCATTATCAAACTTCACCATTTGTCAAGAGAACCAGCTATTTCCTTCAGGGCAAACAGTAGTAGAACTGGTGTTATTAGCATATTGATAGCATCCCACTCCAAAGTTCCAGCTGTTTCAAGTAGATACTGAAAAGCATGAGAAACAAGATGGAGTCTCATGGGATGCCATAGATATGTTAGTGTGAAACAGAAGTGCCTCAGCAAAGATCTGAAACTACCGTAAAACAGATAGCCTAGAGAAATTAGCAGGGTCACACATCCTATACATTTTCCAGCATAGGTAATCCACCAAGCCAGTTTTAGTCCTGTATTTAAACCAAAAGTTAAAATTAAAACATAATAAAGAGTAATAAAGTATTTGCCTGGAACCAATGTCCACAATTTACTCAGGAAAGCTCTCTAGAATAAATATGTCTCTAGAAAGACATAATGATCCCAGAAACGTAACCGGGACATACTTTCCTAATCTCCTTCCTGGCAAAGATCATAGGAAATGCTAGGCAGTTGTCATGTTAAAACCAGATCTAAATCTCAACTTGAAGTGGATTTTGGTTCTTTTTCATCCAAGCACATCTCTCTACATATACATTAGTTCTGGGAAAGAAACTTATGCTATCTGAAAAGCAACTTACATACAAAGGCAAGTTGAGGTATTGATCTCAATTTATCTATCTTGCTTCTGATCATCTGCATTGTGTTGTAGTGGACTTCCTAAGCAATGGGTATTGTAAAGAAAGAACTTAATATTGACTTCCACAATAAGTAACCTTTGATAACCAGACTGTTTCTCTAAAAAGTATATATCCCACATTTTCTAAGAATCAAAAGCCATTTTTATTGGTAGTGGCAGATTTATTTATTTATTTATTTATTTATTTGTTTAGAAAATTAAAAGAAATAATAAAGTTAGCTGAAGAAGTCTTTTTAACATAAATCATCAATAAGATGCCAACAGTTGAAAAGTCCATTTCTTATGCTATAAACAAAAATCCAGGTTTTTTTTAAAAAATGCACATTATTATTGAATTACTGAATATATATTAAACTTATTATCAATTCTTTCTCTCCCTCCATCACCTCAGATACATTGTGCAAAAGCTGAAATAATAGACAACCAATACAATAGTGCAATAAATTAAATACTGATTTTAACTGAGCGTGTTTTCTAGACTGTTGTATCCAAAATTGCCTGAACAGAAAGCTGTGTGCACAAAAGGCTTTCTTTAAAGTCTCTATGACAGATCAGAAGGTCACTGAATGCTTGAAATGTGTCATTAGTAACATCCAGAAATTACAAAAAAAAAAAAAAAATTATACACATGCACCTTTTCTGCTTTGGAAAGAATTTTCAGAGGGGGTATAGATCAATATGTTTTGCAATAAAAAAAGTACTTCGTTAATAATATTTTCCAAGACAAATATAGAAGAACAATACTTGCCTTGTATATGCCATCATATCTATTGCCTTCCTCTGGAGCATATTTGCTGATCCTTCGACCTTTTGAACTGCGAACAACTCTAACTGGTTTTCCAGCTCTCCAATTTTTAGACTCAGCTCCATTTTTGTCATCCAATGGAGCATCACAATTTAGAGCCAGGGCCCTAAAAAATATTTTTTTAAAGTTTTTCAACATAACAGAATATTTCTTAAAGTATCAGAGCATCAGTCGGGATAATCATTACATGCCAAACTATTGCTATTTGATACTCCACAGTCAGCAGAGCATAGAGCAGGCAGGTGAGCCTAAAATCACCATGAAGTCAACTACAGTTTGTTCCTATAGAAACAGTATGCCCATCGCAAGCCTGAACGATCAGATCCTCCTTTCTTTCCTCCACAAAAATGTAGAGTGCTGCATTCAGACACTCAAAGCAGATGCAGGCGTTCCACAATTGGAAGGGCTCCTAACTTTATTCAGCCATTAAAACTAAACATTAAAGCTTTCCATACCCTCTGCTTTATTCTCTCACCAACAAGATAGTGATAAGCAGAAATATTGTTTTTCCTCTGTATGAAAAGCTGCAGTCCACCTTTGCCTAGCATCCAGGGGACCTCTAAGATGCCTTAACAGCCTATAAGGGACAACAGATTTAAGATGACTACCTGTTTGGAAGTGAACAGTTTCTCCTTAAAAATGAATGCTTGCTCCTTAAAAAAATAAATAGGAAAATATTTTTAAAAGGCACCTGTTCATGTGGGTTAGAGTTTGATCAAATGAATGTTCCCCAATTCTTTTATTGCCAGAAAGATCTCTTCCACCACTCCCAGTGTAAGTAAATTCATCACCTCGGTCCTATATAAGAAGATAAATTATCCTTTAAAATGTTAAATTATGATTGCGGATATTCTGAAATATACAAGTAGAAAATGAAAATCCCATGCCATAACAGCTCTGCATATATAACCATACCAACACTTTGTGTGGTGCTGCCACAGATATTTGGGGAGGTGTGATATGTGTGGTCATGTTCACGTGGGTTTGCATACAAATGTGTCTATCTAAAAACACAAAAACATTAACCTCAATAGGCAACTTTTTAGGACAAATTTACAAGCCATCGTACATGGGCTGCAAGAGGGAAACAGAATACTAATGACCTGATGACATTCTCATTCTGAGCAAAAATGGAAGGATTTTTCAACCCAAATCTTCCCACTTCATGCTCTCCCTCTATATCTGTTCTGTACCCAGGACAGATGTGAATGCAGCAGATCTGAATTACTGGCAAAGAGCTGGACCTAATAACAGATTTCTACATGCCAAGATATAGGGAATGCCTCTCACAGGTCAAGTCTTTTATCCTCATACTTCAGTGGTACTAAAAGATCTGCAAACATTTCCAAGAATATCATTAACTCAGGGGAGGGAACCGACAAATAGAATGCACCTTTCCTCACTATAAAAAATAGTGAATATGTCCACAAAGTGCCTAAATATTTTGTTGGTTGTGCTCCATCTATTTTAGCATATTTACATATTATCTGTTTAAAACAAATTAGTTCAATATCTCCTAGCAATTTGCATTAACAATGTGTACCATTCTGTTTTTTGTGCATCTGTAGGTATCTATCTGGCTTTTTGTTTTATTACGATTGTTGCTGAAGTTGTACTGCATTATATCCATATTGATGTAATTACTTTTATTAACATCTTATTCTACTATTAGCAAATCTATTCAAAAGAAGGATGAGTTTGAACAATTTTAAATAAATAAATAAACAAACAAACAAGATGAATGGCTTTGAGTGAATTTTGACCTCACAGATATGATAAATTACTAATCTTTCTCTCCCTGGCTAAAGCCTTTCCACAAGATGTAAACTACCTCCCCCCAAAAAAATACCTCAATGAGGCACTTAGCATGACTTAAAAAATCAACAGGTTCAAGGATGCCGAGCATGAATTAAATCTGTTTGAGACCTACAATTCTTCTGTGGTTGTTCTGGGAAATAAAGAGAAATATTTGAAGGCTTATGCACCTTTCTTTTCCTTTGAAATATTCTAATTTTTGGCATCAGTAAAAATGTACTTTACTCTCTTTGAGCAAGTAATTAGCATTTAACAGCAAATGATACCAATAAACTAAACTAACAGCAAATGATACCAATAAACTTAATAAAGAGTCTACAACGTTACTTGTAGACTCTTTATTAATCACAAAATTGTAGGCCTGAGGAAATAGGGCAAAACACAATAAGTACATTATATTTTCTTGAGCTACTTTGTATATGAACATGAACCATGGATAATAAATAAAAAGTATTAATTAAATATCAAAGCACGTCAGTTAGCGCCAATTGTATGCTATCAGGAGCAATTGACTAAATCATCCAAAGGCTATAGCAGTTAATAATGTGGATTTATACAATAAAAGCATGTTAAGGAATTATCTAATAAATAGAAATATTTTATAAAATTTCCTAAGCAACCTATGAAAGCCAAAATGCTCGTAGATATTCTAATACAATTATATGAACATATTTTTGGTTGCACTACTGAAATACCACTTTTTTATTCATTGCTAGAAATATTTCCCATCTTTATTTAGTGCAGCTCAGAGAGCTACAGCAGGGATCACCAACCTTGGCAACTTTAAGATCTGTGGACTTCAACTCCCAGAATTTGCTGGCCAGCCAGGGGCTGGGGAATTCTGAGAATTGACGTACACAAATCTTAAAGTTGCCAAGATTAGAGTTGCCTGCTATGTAGAATGTTCCCACCTCCCATTTTCTCCACACAACAGCACTGCAAGGTACATTGGACTGAGAGAGTGTGATTGATAAGCTCTGCACAAAAGTCAGAAATGAAAGATGGAATCTATTGTGTAATTAAAAGTACATTGTGAAAAGATGCATTCTATACAATAGTGCCCTTTCCTGCTTCCTTCAATTTCTCTTCCAACATTAACTATTGCCTAGATCAGTGGTTCTCAACCTTTCTAATGCTGTGACCCCATAATACAGTTCCCCATGTTGTGGTGACCCCCAAGTGGGTGTGGCCACCAATAAGAGGGAGTAGGACAGCTAGGGAAAAGGGAAAAAAATGGCAGACAGCGTGGTTTGGCAACCCCCGTGAAATGGTCATTTGACCCCAAATGGGGTCCCGACCCACAGGTTGAGAACCACTGGCCTAGATATTCACACTTTGCTTTACATTTTTATAATTATTGCTCATATTTTATCTTCCATTCTATAGTAGGACAACATGACTAAAGTTTCATTTTAAGACTCCAATACTAATCTCTGTTGCCACAAACAATTCCTAGCAACAGAAGGAAGTATCCACGTCCTGCCTATGACTGAACATTAATTTTATGCCGGCTGGTGAATGTGGATCATTTTCACTGTCGGATTGATAAACCTCTCTAATTCTTTTCTTCTTCTCCAGTCAGAATCTCAGTATAGCTGAATGCTGGGACCCACTGACATTTTGCTAACAAAAAAAAATATATATATATCCATTCTAAACATTTTAAAAAACATTTTTACCCACGTTTATATCTTTGCATAGCATGAGATAAAACAATTAACTAGAGCAGTGTTTCTCAACCTTGACAATTTTAAGGCATGTGGACTTCAACTCCCAGAATTCCACAGCCAGCATTGCTGGCTGTGGAATTCTGGGAGTTGAAGTCCACATGCCTTAAAATTGTCAAGGTTGAGAAACACTGAACTAGAGCATCGATACATAAACTAATCAGAATATAAAACTTACAACTTCATCTTCAAATCCTCCAGCCAACACAAGGGAGTAAGCGCCATCATTACTACGTCCATGGATTCCACCAACGTGAGGTCTATGAACACCTGCTTCACTCACCTTTAATTAAACAAGTTTAAAATATATTCCTATTTTTAATAGTAGAACATATCAGTGCATCTAATTGAAATACTTTAATCTTGTTTTCCTGAAAAAATGTACTCAAAAGCTATTAAACTGTACTCAAAACACTTTTCAGTTTCAAACATATTTTTAGAAAATTATATTTAAAACCTGAGTCCCTAGAGTAGTAAATTTATTTTTGGCAATTATCCAAGACAAAAGATTTATCTTACAATAGAGATATTAACCCAGGATCACAAAAGGTTCGCTTATATTAATCTGCTGATGGGGTCCTCTCAATAATTGAGTATGATAATGGGGAAAAAATCAAAAGTAGCTACAAGTGCAACATAAAAACTAACTGGCCTCAAATATGACATTAAAAAACCCAAGTAATGATTTATATACTCATGCAAATGACACAATAGTGAAACAAAAGTGTGGAAAACAATATATAGAAAATATAGCTAAATACCTGCACTCTAAATTTCCATGTTGCTCCAACTGGAACACCAGGTATAGGTCCATAATGATTAGAAGGAACAATAGTGCATTCCTTAGTACGGCCAACACAGGCCATGCCCTACCAACATCAGGAGAACAAAGCAAGCATAGTAATTGTGAAACTTTATGAAGAAGTACCTGTTTTAGCAATGTTTTAATTCACAGCTTATTGAGATAAGGGCACTCAAGAGCCACCAGGCTGCTGTTCTAAGAGAATCAATTTTAAAAATGTTCGCAGTTGGCTTTGCTCATTTTTTTGAGTACTACTATGCATTATATATAAAATCAGCAAACTTCTCTATATTAGCAGCAAATAAAAGAAAGCAGAAAAACTAAAATTGTTTGCCAGAACTGCTGTTATTATTCAGCATGGTCACAAGACTTCATTCCTTATTATCACTGAATGATGGTGTTCCTGGCCCAGTTATTATTGATAAATGTGAACTACTATATTTAGATATTTGATAACATACATTTTAATTCAAATTTTCAGAATTCTCCATTCTGAATAGGTAGAACCAAATATTTAACAGAATAACAGAGTTGGAAGGGACCTTGGAAGTCTTCTAGTCCAACTCCCTGCTCAGGCAGGAAACCCTACGCCATTTTAGACAAATGGCCATCCAGTCCCTTCTTAAAGGCCTTCAGTGTTGAAGCAATCACAACTTCTGGAGGCAAGTTGTTCCACTGATTAATTGTTGTTGGGAAATTTCTCCTTAGTTTCTAGATTGCTTCTCTCCTTGATTAGTCTCCATCCATTGCTTCTTGTCCTCCCTTCAGGTGCTTTGAGGAATACTTTGACTCCCTCTTCTTTGTGGCAATCCCTGAGATATTGGAACATTGCTATCATGTCCCCCCTAATCTTTCTTTTCATTAAACTAGACATACCCAATTCCAGCAACGGTTCTTTATATGTTTTAGCCTCCAGTCCCCTAATCATCTTTGTTGCTCTTCTCTGTACTCTTTCTAGAGTCTCAACATCTTTTTTATATTACAGCGACCAAAGCTGGATACAGTATTCCAAGTGGTCTTACCAGGGCATTATAAAGTGATATTAACACTTCATGTGATCTTGATTCTATCCCTTTGTCAATGCAGCCTAGAACTGTGTTGGCTTTTTTGGCAGCTGCAGCATACTGCTGGCTCATATTTAAGTGATTGTCCACTAGGACTCCAAGATCCCTCTCAGTTATTACTATTGAGCCAGGTACCATCTATACTATACCTGTGCATTTGGTTTTTCTTGCCTAAATGTAGAACCTTGCTTTTTTCACCATTGAATTTAATTTTGTTAGATAGCGCCCAGTGTTCAAGTCTCTCCAGATCCTTCTGTATCTTAAACCTATCTTCTGGAGTGTTGGCTATTCCTGCCAGCTTGTTGTTTTCTGCAAATTTGATGAGTTCCCCATCTACCCCCTCAGCCAAATAAGTGATGAAGATGAAGAGTACTGGGCCTAAAACAAATTCTTGGGATACTCTGCAGCATATTTGTCTCCATGTAGAACCAGTTAACAGTCTGGATTAAATTCCATTATTAATCCTCATCTATGTATATTTTAAAAAAGACAGGTTCACAGTGATGAAGGGAAATTTTTTTAGATGCCATAGTACAAGCTACATAAAATTTCATAGGTTTATTAAATTGCACCCACAACCTGGCTAGACTCTAGTTACAACTTTAACTCTAATATAATCCATCTTCACTATTGTATTTTCAACTAATTAAATATCTGAAACACTCTTTTTCAAGATCATTCCACACACAAAACATTGCAATAGTCGCGTTTGAGAAATAATCTAAATAATATAATAATAACACAATAAAATAATCAAAACATCTATTTTCAACAGGAACCGCAAGTGCCATAGTAATCTAAAACAATACAAAAGATATTGTAAATAATTAATTTGGGGTTCTGTAGCATAAATAAATAAAATTAAATAAAATAAATAACAGCCAGCAACCAGATTTTTAAAAATGACTGTAGTTACTTTTAAAAACCACTCTAAAATAACAAACGTCATTTGACTTTGCTAGCAAAATGGAAGGAGAAAAAAAAGCACACTCTAAACCAGGGCTTTTCAACCTTTTCACCCATTGTACCACTTTTAGGATATGGCAGTATCCGAGTACCACCAGTCGCCTAGCAAGGTGTCAAAAACTTGATGACCCCCCAAAAAAGAAGAAAAAAGTAAAAAAGTGATAAAGTACAGGTAGCCCTCAACTTACAACAGTTCACTTAGCCTGCCCACCTGGCCGCACTCTTCCTCCTGTCTGAGGTTTTCATTGTTGTGAGCATTTCTGTTAAGGATTGGCAGTGGGGGTGGGGTGGGTGGGTGTTTGGTTTTTATTCCTCCCGTCTGCTGGGTGGTTGCAGCAGGTTTTGGTCACTTCACATGACCCTAGGACACTGTGACCGTCATAAATATGAATCAATTGCCAAGCATCTGAATGTAAATCACAAGACTCTGGAGATGCTGCAACATTCCAGCTGATTGGTGCTTCTTCAGGGCTCAGCAGAAGCACCAGGATCAGCACCGAGCTCCAGCTGGAGCCTGGCGCTGATCCTGGCGTTTCCACTGAGCCCTGACAGTCCCGAAGAATCGCTGATCCTGGCGCTTCTGCTGAGCCCTGACAGCCCTGCAGCTCCAGCCATCTCTCACTCAGGCTTGTGCAGTGCTGCCACCGGTTCAGCTCATTCCCCTCCCCCGCTACCACTTTTCTAGGATGGTCACGTACCACCTGCCAGGTGCCAATGTACCACAGGTGGTACCCCTACCACTGGTTGAAAAGCCCTGCTCTAAACAGCATCATTAATTTCAACTCCTAATCATGATTTCAATTCCATACTGTGTTTACTAAAAATCATACTTTAGTACAATGGTTCTCAACCTTTCTAATGCCGCGACCCCCAACCAGTCGTAAGTCGAGGACTACTCAACTGGTGCAGCACCGTTTGCAGAATGGGACTTTTGGCGGGCTCAGCAGGGCAGAGACAGCCTGGACAATTCCTATTGGCTTTTGAAAGCCAATAGAATTAGACTCTATTCAAGAGAGTCTATTCTATTGGCTTTCAAAAGCCAATAAAATAAAAGGGAGTAGCAAAGCTAAGGAAAAGGGGAAAAAATGGCGGACTGCGTTGTTTGGCGACCCCCGTGAAATGGTCGTTCGACCCCAAATGGGGTCCCGACCCACAGGTTGAGAACCGCTGCTTTAGTATGATAATGCTATGTTTGAAATGTGGAGAGTAACAATTAATAGTGACTTCAGGTAATTTGTTTGAGTTTTTGTTTCTGGGTTTTATTTTATGTGGGAATTACATTTCATACTTGGATTATGAAGTTATGGAGGATATTAGGAAACAATTATTTTTTTAACCTTTTTTAGATTCTTAAAAATGTCTGAAGTTTATAAGTGAGGAAATAAATGTTTAGAGAGGATACATATATAAGGATATCTAAATGTTATTTACCTTGCCCCAATCTCGTTGGCTGTCAGTGCAGGCAGATGGCATTTTTGCTTTCTTTTTACTTTGTTTCAGCTTTTCCCCAGCTTTTACAACCTCGTTAGAATCATTTTTACAGGAAGGACAGTACCTAAAATATTAATGATTTTAAAATCTATTAAACTATAAATAAAAATACAATACTAACATATGCATTTTATGCAATATGCATTGAAACACAACTCCTTGTGGGTTTATATTTCATATTTACATTTCTTGCAACTTCTTGTAAACCCCTTTCTTCTTTTAATATTTACTGCATTCATGTGTCATTTTTTTGCTCAAGGTGGCTATAATTTTATCACCATAGTGTCTTGTAAGAGAGATTAGACTTACAAAGTGACTCAAAATCATCCAGCAAACTCCATGACCGATTAAACCTCCAAAGTCTCAGTTCAACACCTACGCTATGCAGATAATATGGCTTATGATGGCAATTGGGACTGGGATTTCTACTGCTAACTGATGCAGCCATAAAGCGTAACCAGATCACTTAATGATGACAATCCCAGCAGTGCCTGTTGCCTTCATTAACCGAATACTATGATTGTTACATGAGGTGACTTCCTGCTGGCCTCCCATAACCAAAGTCAGTGGGGAAGCCAGCGGAAAGTTGCAAATGCTAGACTGGCAGCCGGGTAGATGGTTAATGTTAGGTGGGGAAGGGGAGTGCAGGGAAGGATGAAAGAAGGCAAGCACTAATGGCTGGCACAAGCACAGAAGAATTAAGGGGAAAGTGCACAGGTGGGAAAGACTCACCCCAATGACTTGCAACCTTCCCTCACAGCTTCTGGGGCAGCTGCTAGGGTAGATGGCAGATGGCAACCATGTGATCGTGGGGCACTGCAAACATTCATGCAAACTAGTTGCCAAGCACCTAGATTGCAGTCATGTGGCCACAAGGGAGCATTTCTTCCAATATATTAGGTGGGGCTGTTCTTCTAATCATACCATATATTTCTCCCGAAATATTGCATGAGGAGTTTAGCCTTGAAATAAACAGGGCAAGATTAGACATAATTTGCTGCTTCTCTCTTAGCTTTAAGCGTGGATTTTACAATAAGGTGTTCTATAAAATGCAAAACTAAACCATGATCCCATATTGTTATCATTACAGTATGTAAGAAACAAAAACAAACATGAACAAATCTGATGTATTATTCCAATGTAGGAGTTATATGAGGGAAGCTATGATCATCACTCTCCCCTACATCTGCAGGTTTAGGATAAGCATCTGAATATCATATTTGGTAGCAGCTGGCTAAGCGAACAATATAACAATTACAATGTCCAAGATAATTAAGCCTTGATTTTGAGCAAGCACTGTTAAATGATAGTTATCTTAATTAGACAGGTTTTATGCTCAACAACTCCTGGATATTTTCTACGATAAGCAAAAGAACAAAAACTTACCATCTCAGCAAATACTTTCAAAATTCATCATTCTATAAAAATTGTGTGATATTCCAAATTTAGCTTCTAAAGACTATTTTCTAAAAGACTGCAATTATTTTGAAGTTCGGAACATTTGGAGTGAACTGCAAACAATCTCCTGGTGAACACTGCTCAACAGCTTCTATTTGGTTACTGTCAGAAGTAGTAGCTAAGTAAATCACAGAGCTAAACGGTATGAACAAACCATCTCTTTCAATTATGAGTACAACAGGGTCAAGCAAAGATTTGAATTTACACATCTACAAATTACAGAAGGAATTGATCCTTCTTTAGAAACTCTCACTGGTAAGAAGAACAGGAGCAATCAACTTACCATACAATAAACCTATGGTTACTGTACAGTGGCTTTCAATATCTAATATCACATACAAGATGAACGCCAAGGATTTCTAAAGCTAAAAGCTTACAATTTAAAAATGAGGGTTATAATTCTGATTTCATCTGATGTTTAAAGTGTATAGGAAAAAAATGATTTCCCCCATTCTTTTAACACTAGAAGGGCATTAGAAATAACAGCTCCTATCAATGAATTTTAATTATATTGGCAACGAAACTGAGTATATTGTCTTTAAAAAATCACACATGTATGCTGCCATACTCCTAATGATTCTGGGTGCCTCACAACTGTCAAAACAAGAAAACCTCAATAAAACCAATTAAAAAGAAAAGTGTGTGTGTGTGTGTTTCTTACCAGTCCTCATCTTCTGGTATTTTGCTTAATGGTGGGTTCAGGCAATATATATGGTAAGCCATATTACATTCATCACAGAGAAGTTGCATGTGTGCATCCTGTTTTCCCCCACAGAGATAACAAGAACAAAATCGACATTCTTTATCTGGGTCAGCTCTGCAATGTTTACATTCAGGACCACTCTTTCCTGCAAAGAAGAAAAGAAAGAAAGAAAGAAAGAGCAAGGGAAATAAGGTGATTAAAAAGGGACTTGAGCACTAGCTGCACAGAAAATTAATTATATAAACCAACAACTATTAAAAATGTTAATAAGCATTTATGGGTCCAGATTTTTAAAATTTATCTTTTGCTTTTGAAAAAGCAAATACAATGATCACCAAGATTTTCTATCTTGGCTTCCTGGGGTGACACCCACCAGGAAAACAAATTTAAATGCAAGTAATTGCAGACTACCAGACAGTCATTCTTTCAAGGTCATGAACTATGAAGTGTTTACTATTTGTTACTGGACAGAATACATTTGCACAGACAGTTGGATCATACATTTTTGATGTTTTGATGTATTGGAATACAAAGTCAGACAAAACGTTATCATATTACTAAAAAATGTTGTCTTACTGATTCCCACAATTCCTGTAGAAAAAATTAAAACTACAGGGACACATGGTCCAATAAATATAGTTGAAACCAAGCAAAACACCCAGACATCTGCAGAGATGGAAAAATCAATATTGGAAGAATAGGAGAAGCTTGCCTTCCAGTAAGGGACCTTGATAACTTATGTCACTTGGATCCCCTGTAAACATGACAGAGAAGAGTTAGTTCCTAGACTGTTGCTGGTGTATTAGCTGCTTCTTTAGGTGGCAATTCAGTTCAGCCATCTGGATCCCTTGCATCTATGGTTTTATATTGGGGAAAGTAGAGTATCTTGTTCTAGATTTCAACCAGTATCTGGTCTAAAGAAGAACCAAAAGGCCTCTTTCCTTGAAGTAACTGGAGGAACCAAGATAGAAACCGGGAAACTGTTTTGAGTTCTAGTCCTGCTTTAAGCCCAAAAACCACTTAGGACCACTCTCTCTGCTCAGCATGACTCATTTCACAGGGCTGTCGTTGTGGGGAAAATAGGAGAAGAGTATTACATATTTATTATTATTAGATTTTGATCCCATCTTCATAATTTTCTATAAATAATTTGAGGCAACCAACATACCTAATATTCCTTACGCCCCATTTTCCCCACAACAATCCTGTGAACTGGGTTGGGTTGAGAAAGAAAGACTGGCCCAAAGTCACCCAGCTGGCTTTTATGCCTAAAGTGAGACTAGAAATCACAGTCTCCTGTTTACTTGCCTGGTGCCACTAGATCAAACGGATCCCTTTGAAGCTGTTGGAATATAGACCTTCGCTAGGAATGTGAAATCACATTGAAAAAAATAGTTGCACTGAGTCCCTGGTAGACAGTTTTTCATCTTCCTAAAATCTCTTTCCTTCTTCACTAACGACCTAGGGAAAAGATGGTTCTTTGAGCAAGTGAAAGAAAGCTGCTTGGGCAGTTGATTATATCTCCTAGAGCAGGGGTCCCCAACCCCCGATCCTTGGACCGGTACTAGGCCGCAGCATGCCAGCAACTGGTCCGCGCAAACAAGCAAAGCCCCATCCGTGGGATGCAGGCAGCACACACTCTCTGGGTCCATGGAAAAACTTTTCTCCACTGAACCGGTCCCTGGTGCCCAAAAGGTGGGGGACCTCTGTCCTAGAGAAGTGTCTGCTGTAGAAAGGCTGCCCAAACCCTCTGAGCATTCTTTCAATATGCCCTCTTCCTCCTATAATATCTTTTCTTTCCTATAAATTCAATCAAGCAGTAATTTACTACAGTAGTCAAGATTGAAGAAAGGCCGTAAGATTACTCTCTAGTGCCATCTTGGGTCTGTAGAAGACATTTATTAGCAAAAGAAGTTGGCTGAATAAGCAGAGTTTAAATATATGGCAGTGACAGCATAAATGTGCAAACCTTTGCAGACAATGAATCATTGTCTTCTGATTTTCTCTACAAATATCTTTTCATAAATCACTGTAATATAAAATTATTTCTAAGAATTGAATATGTATTTGAAAAATATATGAATCAAATATATTTCTTTTAAAAATAGGATGTGTAAAATACTATTCAAAAATGGGAAACCTTTCATAAGCAGACCAAATACTTACTTTTGAACTCTCCATCTGCAAATGTCAATGGATACGCTCCTGGTTTTTCAATCTTGTATATTTCCTCTATAAAACGGAGTTTGCAATCATTTATTACATCTTCTGAGCCTCTGAAAATTAAGGTAACAAAATATTCAACTCAATTTCTCTCATTCCAATTTTAATGCTATCCAATGGAACACAATATGAAATTACTGTGGAAGCATACATTATATGCTTGAATAACAGTCACTGACTTAACTAAAAACTAAATAAAAGCATGCTTCAAACTCAATTGTGAAATAGCAATATTATATTAATCCAAAAAATATTCACTAATATTCACAGAAAAGCAAATAATGCATCTATGTGAAGAATCATACTAAAACATTAGCAACCATTTACATATTAACAATTGTATTAAGAAAAAAAATTACAAATAATTAATGTTATAAACCAGAAAATAAATCAACAATAAAGGCACAACCAACCTAAACTTTATTTCTCTTTTGCCATATATGTTTAATGATCAATATAGAAATAAATACAATCATGCAAAGCATTTTCAGATACCCGTTATAATTTCATATGATACTAATAGAAATGAAACCAAGTAAATGATACTAATATACTTGAGGGCATATATTTTTAAAGGGCCAAGAATAATACATATTTAGAAATCAGCAAAAAACAAAGAAAAAAGATTAAGAAAACAAGAGATTAGCATAGCTGATTGGCTGACATCTAAATCAGAACCATGAAGATGAAGACTTTTGATTGTAGGTCTGATTCATTATAATGGACAAGTAAAATATGTTCATTTATTTCAGTATAATTAAACAGACAAGCATATTCAACTCCATCAGGAAATACTCTCTATATTTTCAGAGCATGACACTGGATAGTAGTTTAATTAATGAAATACACCTACTGGTTAGCTTTCCCGTCACTATATAATATTGCAAGAGTTCCATACAGAGTAACATAAGGTTAACAATCTAACTTGCTTAATTTTTCCTCCTCAAAACTCAGTGTTTTATTAAAAAAAAAAATAAAACAAAACAAAAAAATAGGTGACTCCTGCATAAATTACATTCCTAATACTACTTATTAGTATCATATGCTGCTTTATGGGCAAAGCTGCACATTCAGATCTAGCTTTTACCATGAATTGCCACACATTACTTAAACAGATTGCCAGCAATAAAGTTTGCCTAAATTTGAAATACAGGTAATCTCAGAGTTACGAGCGTTCCCTTAGCGAACGTTCGAAGTTAAACGATAAGCACCCCCTAGTGCTTATGAGCAAGTCCTGAAATTACGAATGTTGCTGCACCATGGCAGTCGTTCACCCTTGTTCCCTCCCTCCCCAGCCCCATCCCAGGTCTCGCTAGGCACTAGGCCTTTAATACTCACCCTGCGAAGATCGAGATTCTTCGCTTTCTTGGCTGTTCCAGGTCTTCAGTGAGTCTGCAGGGAATGGAAGCCTAAAGTAATGCAAGATCAGGCGAGATCTCACTCTATTGATCTCGCATGATCTAATGATATTTTAGGCCTCTGTCTATGCAACAGAGAATGGAACCAAAGCCAGAGGACACTTCTCCGTGCCTCCTGAGGCTGATCAGGGCTGCTTTCCCAGGCTGCTACCGCACGGATCTGAAGCTGGGAGAGGTTTTCGCAACCCTCCAGAGGCCCGATCTGGGAGACACTTCCACGTGCCTCCGGAGGCCCAATCCAAGCTTCAGAGGCCTTTCCCAGTCCGCTGCTGCCTGGAAAAGGGGCCTCCAGAGGGCCACAGAACTGTCCCTGGCCTCAGATCCAGGCAGCAGTGGCCTGGAAAAAGCCTCCGGCGTCCGGATCCAGCCTCCAGAAGCACACGGAAGCGTCTCCTGGCCTCAGATCTGGGTGGCAGCAGCCTGGGAAAGGCCTCCGGAGCCCAGATCCAGCCTCCAGAAGCACGCAAAAACATCTCCTGACCTCAGATCTGGGTGGTGGCAGCCTGGAAAAGGCCTCAGACGCCCAAATCAGTCCTCCAGAGGAACGCGGAAGGGTCCCCCAGCCTTAGATCTGAGTGGCAGCAGCCTGGGAAAAGCCTCCAGCACCCAGATCCAGCCTCCAGAAGCACGCGGAAGCCTCCCCCAGCCTCAGATCCAGGCGGCAGCAGCAACCGCGGCAGATAATAAACATATCTTTTCAAGGTGAGTCGGGCGCATCAGGAAGGGAGGGGGAAGCATGAGGTATCTTAGTGGGTCAGGAAGGCCTTGGGAGCCTGTTCCATCAGTAGGCCCACCATGGCCTTCCCCACCCTGGTATACTTTATGTTCACTTAATGAGCCGTGTGTGTCTTAATGAGCAGGGAGTGATCTCGTTCAAAGTACGAGATTCACTTGAATTTTCAAGTTATAAATTGAATAGGCGGGTTTCATTACATTCGTAACTCGATTACCTGTTTATTTATTTATTTATTTATTTATTTATGAGACTTATATACCGCTTAAAGTGCAAGCACTCTCTAAGCGGTGTACACCAGTAAGCAATGTATATATATATTTACATTGCCCCCAACAATCTGGGTCCTCATTTTACCTACCCCGGAAGGATGGAAGACTGAGTCAACCTTGAGCTGGTGAGATTCGAACCGCTGACCTGCTGAACACAGTCAGCTAAAGTGGCCTGCAGTACTGCGCTCTAACTGCTGCGCCACTTCATACTTTCCTTTATGAAATACCTGTATTAGCTTCATCATTTAGGGATTTTTTTAATGATTGAAATAGTAACTGTAAATATTTTTTTATTTTATTCATTCATTCATTTCATATGGCTATTCACTTGCTAACTGTAACATCAATTAGCTACACTGATCAACTATGTTGGACAAAAATGACTCAAATAAATACATCAGGTTTTATAAGATACCTCAAATATAATTGCTTTTAGATTTTATTCAGTATTACCAAGCATTAGTTTTATGGATACACTTCCAGGAGCAAAGGACTGGAGGTGTTTCCATGAAGAAAACTTATGAAGAACTTTATCTTTTTTAATATATTCAGAAAGATACTCTGTCTGCTGATGTAAGAGAAAATATTTTTTTTAAAGTTTAATTGTGCTGCTTTTCCCTATTAACCATTTTTTTGCAGATGCGTTCATCATATTTATTATTCTTTCTGATTTTACAGCAGGGCTCTTCTCTTTCAGGATATTGGCAGTCCTCTGCTACCACAATGAAGATCTGTACATTGCCAAAATATTTCATTTCGCAGGATTATGAAAATGTTGAAATAAGCATAATCTGAGGGAAAGAAAACTAATGAGCTGGTAATTTGTTTCAACTCTCTCAAAGCTTGTTGCAAAGTGGGAAAAACATTTAAGCTGAGTAGAAAGGGGAAGAACACATACATTCATCTCTTCCTCTTGCCTCTTGTCCAAATATAACACTGCTCTGCTAATTCAGCCATTTTTTGCTATGCTGAGTAATTTCTTTTTTCTCACCAAATTTAATTCTGAGACCTAAGTCTACTTCGCATTTGGGAACACTGATTAACTATATAAAAAGAAACTGCTTCCTTCTGGAAGGCAAAAATTACCACAGTAAAGTTCTCCATTTGCATACCAAAAAGCAAAAATGATCTGGCAAATCAGAAGCATAACATGGTTTAAATGATGTTTCTTGCTATGTTCCTGAAACCACAGAAATCACTACAATACTGTCATATTTCTGGTGTATTTATTCTTTTTGTAATTTCATGGTATTTCTAAAAACCAAAATCTAAGAATCCTAATTTCTATGTAAGTTAGTACTAAATCAATGTGTCCATGGTGCTTCAAAACCAGACCTATCATTATGAAGAAAATAAGACTGTGATTTATGTTGAGTTATCCAAAGTAATGAACTCAATGGAATTTACTGCTGAGCAGATTTCCAGAATTGTTGTTTACGTATTTCAAGTAATAGCTGGAAAGAGAACGACATGAGTGAAAGCATGATATAGTAGTTAAAGTGTTGAGCCAGAGGCAGAAAGTCCCAGTTTTAGTCCATTGCCAGCCATGGAATGCATTGGATGACTTTGGACCAGTCACTCTCTCTTTATACAAACTAGCTCATAAGTTATTGTTCTAGGGGAAAAATGGGAGAATAAAGCACTATGTATGCTGTCTTGAGTACTGAGTCCCAAAATGAAAGAAGGGATATAAATCTAATATTAGAAAGACAGAGCAGCATCGTTTTTAACTTCTTGCTATAAAAAAATAAACAGCATTGAAAGAAATTACTGGTTTTGTGCTATACTGAAAGGTTTTATTTACTGAAATGATGTAAAAACTGTAGATAGACTGCAGTATTAATCAATAAAATCTTACCCCAGCATAATTTTGGCATAAGCCTCTTTATTAGTCCTTGAAATTTCTCTCAAAGAGGTAATTTCTGCATCAAACCAGAATCCTCTTTCTTCTGGACTTTCTACATTGTAATTAACCATCACTGCATCACCCACATGTAATTCATTCCATTTCAAAATAGTTCTTGCTCGAGGCCGCAGATTACGGACAGTCATTTCTACAATGCCACTTTCTGGGTATCTTGAAGAAAGAATAAAAACAAAAGTTGCAATAACCTCAATATCATAATGCAAATGTTTAAACATCTATATAATACAACCGTGTTAACACCCTTAAAAATCAAGTCCATAATGTATGGGAACCTGCTTTTGAAACAGCAGAATTTTACTGTCCACGTGAGAAGTGTTCCCCAAAGACCATTACTGCACATGAAGGATTGTGAAGATGCTTAAAGAATCTCTTAGAGGTGGTTTTATATTTAAAGATTATGAGGCATACTGATAGAACTGAACTGGCTTTTAACTATAACAAAGAAAACAAATATTACTGGGACATCACTATAACTCATTTCTAGAGAAATGCTTTTATTTTCTCAATGTGACTATAAAGAAGTGAGCATAAATTTGAATAATTACATAGAAGAACAGTAGGCTCACTCCAGTTCTAAAAATGTATTTGTAAGTAAGCCCTAGTAATTTCAGTAAAACCTAAGATTTAGAATTTCAGTGTCATTTCAGTTTCCACAAATAAAGATTAAAAAAGAGCTCAAGAGGCAACTAAGGTTGCAATTAATGTTTCAACAATAGTCTAGGCCAATACTGAGAGACTTTAGATCAAAGTTCTTACATGCAAAAACAATTACAGGTTTCAAGCTTTAAATACATACCTATATCACATCATTAATAGTTATCAAAATGATGACAGCTTTGGGAGACTGCTGTTCTAAGAAATAGAAAGCCAAAGTTCATTTGGCTGCCTGAATCTAGTTGTACAACTGCTTTTAAGAATCAACTGAATATATTTTTGAAAATCTATCTCTGTATCAATAAAACAAACAAGATCTATTTATATAGGAAGGGAGCAACTGCTTCCCCACATTCTATGTTCCAGATTAACACTCATGATTATGTCACATAATCACATCTATCTTTGGTTATATCAGTTAACAAAAAAGGCTTTTATAAAAAGATGAAATACATCATCATTGGAATTAAGTATCTAACCATTGAAATTTCCTAGAATTCTACTTCAGTAAACAACTTTTACAATGATGCATTTATATAAAACAAATATGGGAATCTTTTAGTACATTGACCACTGTATTCTCCACCATCCATCCATCCATTCATCCACCCATTGTCTCTACTCAAGATCTTCATTCCTATAGTACATATTTAGAAGGAGCTACTTTCATACCAACAGCGTGAAAAAATCAGTAAACTACTCATGGAAGAAAAAACTCTTTCCTTGCAACAAGCACAGTTCCAAATTCTTTTCTCTACTTTATAATAAAGAAACTTGATTTCTCATCTTTTCCATTTGTATTAAACAGAAAATCAGGAAAGTTAACACAGCAGAATGGAATGTGATTATACTTCCAGGAAAACAGATCCCGTGTCCCACAATCAAAGTAGCCCTTGGATGTAAAAACCATACAAACTGTAACTCATACACTATTTTAAAGCAATTCACCAAAAGGCAGAAACTAATCTAAATTCCACACTTCTGCATGCCAAGCAGCCATTTAAAAAGTGCACAATGGGGGTAAAAATCCGAATATAGTAGGCACAGCTCATACTAATGACTTTGAAATCTTACGATACCAAGTACCGGTAATTTTTAATCTAGGTGAAAGATGAAAATGTGGAATCTAATAAAAATTATTCAGATGAGTTATATACTTTCTCAAATGCCTTGGGACAGTGTATACATAGAATAATAATAATATATTTACCATAAAATATAACAGTAATGCAAATATTTCAAGCTATCTAGCACATTGGACAGGAACTCTAATCCTCATGTCTGGGGGGGGGAGGGGAGAGGAGAAGCTAGGTCTTTAGAAAAGATAGGCTGAGTTTGGATACCCAAATCTCAGGGTAATGTTATTCCATAGGACATAATGACAGAATGGCATTTTTAAGAGATGAAGACATGCCAACTCTGTTGGAGCTTATCATCAAATGGGCAGAATTGCAAATAATTCAGCCTTCTGCCAGAGGGGTTTTAATGCTAAATAACCACCACTCTGAATTCCACCCAGAAGCCACTAGCAACCAATGTAGCTTACAAAGTAGAGATGCCTACTGAAGTACACTCATAACTACTCATGCAGCTACATTCTGGACCAGCTGCAGCTCCCAATTAGTCTTCAAGAGCATCTTTGGAGTACATGTTGCAATAATCCAAATAAGAGGTGACTAATGCATGAATTTTACTGAGTAGGGCCTCACAATCCAGGAAAGGGCACAAACAATGCACAAAATAAAATGTGTAGAGGACAGAATGAAAGGCTTTGAAGGAGAGGGAAAGCTGTTCCCAAGGCAATTGTCACAAAAAAGGGGGTTGAGTCTGGAACAAGGAATATAGCATAACATGAATAAATGTTTCCAACAAGCTCTAGTTCAGAGGTCCCCAACCTTTTGGGCACCCGGGACCGGTGCGATGGAGGAAGGTTTTTCCACTGACCAGAGGGGGTGTGGTTTTGAATACTGCCTGCATCCTGAGGATGGAGCTTTGCTTGTTTGTGCGGCCCGCTTGGTGGCATGCTGCAGACCGGTGCTGGTCCACGGACCGGGGGTTGGGGACCCCTGTTCTAGTTCACCCAAAAATATAGGAAAGATGAAGCCAGCACATTCAGACTTTAAAGATTCTGTTGCTAGTTTTACAATAAAAACACTAATGACCTACATGGCAGTAGAAGAGCTGACAGAATGGTACAAAAGTCATTCAAGTCATGGCTACCACCTGCTCCTCGAGCAAGAGTATAAGACTATACAAGCCCATTCAGAAAATCTTCACTTCCTGGAAGTTTCAATATCTAGAACCAGGTCTTACTAGGTTGAACATCCTAGATAGATATTTCTGTCCATCTATGGCCATTGGCAGCAACAGGTTGAAGTGTATAATTGGATATCATCAGCATACTGCTCAATTTAATTCCATGTCAATCGATGAGCCAGTGCATTTCTACTGATGTTATCATCATCATCACCTTCATCATTCTAGCCATTGTCTATCCACTGCAGCATAAAAGCCTCTTCTGCATATTTCCAACCAATATGGTCTTTTTTCTTTTGCCAATTGGGCCCATAATACTTGCGGATGCTATAGGAGTAGAGAAAGAAGTACTGAGGTACCTCACAAATCAAGAGTTCGATCTCTCCCTATCTTCAACACTAACTGGAACTGATTTTGGAAGAACTACCACAAAACCATATCTTCGCTTCCAACCCCCTGAGCTGGTCCAAAAGGATACCATGATTGGTGATATTGAAGGCACTAAGAAATCAAAGACAACAGGATGGATGTACCATTCTCATTCTAGTCCTACCAGGGATCATCCAGAAGTACAATCAATGCCATCTGATACTTTATACAAGCCTATAGGATTCAATCTCCTATAGCTGGACACTGAAAAGTCTCCAGATAATCTGCTTCCAGATTATCTACTGACAGACCATTTTTTCAATAATCTTGCCCCAAAAAGGAAGGTTAAAGATAAGCCAGAGATTATCCAACACTATTAAATCCAGAGATTATTTGCTGAAGAAGGGGCAGATCACTAATTCCTTAAGAAAAGTTAAAACTGCCTCTTTACTCAAGGATGAATTTCCCACCACAATCATTAGATCCAATCATAGATCACCACCTAGGAGGCCTTAATCAGCCAAGACAGTGGTTAAACTCTAAGCTTCAAGAACCATGTCCACTTCTTTAGGACCAATGGACTCCAATAACCACATAAGACTGAGCCACAGTCAATTTACAGGACTTGCACAGCTGCAGTCCAACTCAAAATAAAGTGATAACCCAAAGTGATTTTATCTAATAGATTTCTTGAAAAATCTTCACAGCAGCTGTTAGGGTGATCTTTTGACCCATCCTCCCAAGGAGATAATGGGTTACCTTAAACAGGGCTGCAAAACATCAAACAGGAGATGCAAGAGTGAGAAAGCAGCTGTTTGCCATTCTAATCAACTCACATGAATATTCTTACCGATGTTTGGTTAGACTAGTTCATTACCTTACTCCAGCAGTGCATTGGGTGTCTCTTTTGTCAATTCATTTTTGGGAGTTCCTCTAAAATCAGGGGACCCTTTGCGATCCATGTATATAGAGAAATCATGCAGGTACAATATAATCCAAAACTTCAACCACTGTCTCATTCCAAGAGGAGACTAAACTTCAGCTAAATTATGCATCGGTCCTTGGGAACTTGCCCTCTGAAACCCAGTAGGATTTATCCAATGGGCCAATCCAATGGGCCTTTCTGTCATAGGGAGCTGATATAGAGAATTCTAAAGCAATTAAAGTTTTCTGTCAATGACAATTCCCAATTCCTGATCAAGTCTCCACTGCCCTGAGACAAAATCAGATCTAACATGTGACCTGCACTGAACATTAGTCCCTCAATTATTTGGATCACGTTCATGACTGAGATATGCAATTTCAGCACTGAAGTTCTTAGTTTTGAGAATGATTACCTTAAAAAAAAAGGCCTGAACTAATCGCCGCTGAGTCATTATCATCCAACTTGGAAAGCCTGAAGCAAAACATCTTCTGGTCTCTGAAATTCCATCCTTCAAAATGCAAAAGTCACCAACTTCTTTATAAAATAAGACACAGGAAGCATTATTTTTTCCATGCAAGAAGCAGAAACGTATTTTCTCCATTTCTCTCAGCAGTTTTTATTTATATAAAAATTTCTGTTCCAATTTTCTAGTTTTCATGTATTATTCAGTGGAAGCTCTTTCTCTGGCAAGGCTTCACACATTTGATAGCACAGGATGGGGAGAAGTGCAATGTAATCCCAGGTGCAGAGGGATACGTTTCCTCACTCTTCTGTTTGGAATGATGAGGTACAAAATATGAACTGAACAAAAGGCATTATTTCATATTAAAATCTAGGCAAAAATTCAAGTGAAGTCTGAAAATTAAAACCAAGGGTTGCATTACTTTCTTGATTTTTTTGTTCTTATTTTTAAAATAGTTGAAAAATTAAATGTGCTGCACAAGAA